GATGGCTGCATAATATTCCGTGGTGTATATGTGCCACATCTTCCCCGTCCAGTCTATCATCGATGGGCATTTGGGTTGGTTCCAGGTCTTTGCTATTGTAAACAGTGCTGCAATGAACATTCGTGTGCATGTGTCCTTATAGTAGAACAATTTATAATCCTTTGGATATATACCCAGTAATGGGATTGCTGGGTCAAATGGAATTTCTATTTCTAGGTCCTTGAGGAATCGCCACACTGTCTTCCACAATGGTTCAACTAATTTACACTCGCACCAACAGTGTAAAAGTGTTCCTATTTCTCCACATCCTCTCTAGCATCCGTTGTCTCTAGATTTTTTTAATGATCGCCATTCTAACTGGTGTGAGATGGTATCTCAATGTTGTTTTGATTTGCATTTCTCTGATGACCAGTGATAATGAATATTTTTTCATATGTTTGTTGGCCTCATGTATGTCTTCTTTTGTAAAGTATCTGTTCATATCCTTTGCCCACTTTTGAATGGGCTTGTTAGTTTTTTTCTTGTAAATCTGTTTTAGTTCTTTGTAAATTCTGGGTATCAGCCCTTTGTCAGATGGGTAAACTGCAAAATTTTTTTCCCATTCTGTTGGTTCCCGATTCACTCTAATGACTGTTTCTTTTGCTGTGCAGAAGCTGTGGAGTTTGATTAGGCCCCATTTGTCTATTTTGGCTTTTGTTGTCAATGCTTTTGTTATTTTGGTCATGAAGTCCTTGCCTACGCCTATGTCCTGAATGGTTTTGCCTAGATTTTCTTCTAGGGTTTTTATGGTGTTAGGTCTTATGTTTAAGCCTTTAATCCATCTGGAGTTAATTTTAGTGTAAGGTGTCAGGAAGGGGTCCAGTTTCAGCTTTCTGCACATGGCTAGCCCAACCATAATTTCAACCATGTTGCTCAATTTTGTTAGAACAAAAAAGGACTAAAACTATTTCTTTTCAATTTATCTTGAATTTTATAATTTGATGAGTGAATTACCTTGTTTCTTCTATAACTCTCTTTACAGTAAAACAAGATATGAAGCATGGAAAGGGGAAATTGGACATTAACTGAATTTATTCTTATGAGGATACCAACAACTGGAGTTGGTGGTGGTCTCCTCTTTGTGATATTTTTATCAGCCTATTTGGTGATGGTCCTTGGAAACACCCTTATTATTACCCTGATTCTTGTGGATTACAGGCTGCACTCACCCATGTATTTCTTACTCAGCAGTCTTTCAGTGAAATGTTAACCATAACCTGTGCTGTTTCTACAATGCTAGCGTGCTTCTTGCCAGGAAGAAAAACCATCTCATTTGGTATATGCTTTGCCAAATTGTATTTCTATTTTCTTTCTGGATGCACTGAGTTTATTCTTTTAGCTGTCATGTCCTATAACCGCTATGTGGCCATTTGCAGTCCTCTTCAGTACCCTGCAATTATGACCAGCTCACTAAGTGCCCGCCTCATCATCCTTTCCTGGTTGGGTGACTTTCTCCTCATCCTCCCATCTACCATCCTTAAGGCAGGACTGCCATACTGTGGTCCCAATGTGACTGATCACTTTTTCTGTGACAGCGCCCCTCTCCTCCACCTGGCCTGTGCTGACATTCATGCCATTGAGCTGTTGGACTTCCTCAGCTCCCTGGTCCTGTTCATCAGCTCCCTCTCACTCACAGTGGTCTCCTATGTTTACATCATCTCCACCATTCTGAAGATACCCTCAGGCCAAGGTCAACGCAAAGCCTTTGCCACCTGTGCCTCTCACTTCATGGTGGTCTCCATGGGCTACGGGATCTCCATCTTTGCCTATGTTTACCTGCACAGAAGAGCAGCCTGCACCTCAACAAGATCCTCTTTATCCTGTCCAGCATCATCACCCCCCTCCTGAATCCCTTCATCTTCATTCTGCGGAATGAAGCCATGACAGATGCATTGAAAGACGCCTGGCCAAAGGACAGAGCTTGCTCAAGAGTATGAAGCTTAAATGACAGAACGTTTGAGAATCATCCCCAAACTTGAGTAATCTCTGCCTTGCAGAGAATGAATTAGGGAACTGAAACTATGAATGCGGAAGAGTGGCTATGTTAAGTCCTATTATTTACACTCATAACACAAACTGTATTTACGAGTTATTTTTAATATGTCTAAATAAATATTAAACATTGTAGTTGGCAGTGGTGACAGTGATACAGTACTGCATTCACTCGTTTACCAATGTGCTGGTGGCAGATCTGTCTTTAGGATGGTCAAAGCAATAGTCAGTATTACAGATGGCCTCTATTGTGTATATTACTTTGTTGAATTTATATGTTGCAAATTCAGGAAAAAGAAAAAAACCTTTCAACTCTGTGATTCTACATGAAGTATGCGCAAACACATTAGAATATAATTAGTGTGAAATAAATTTTAAGAAACATCTGGATTTAAAGAATTTTAGATCAACAGATACCTCTTGGTGTGTTTGCTAATTAATAAAAATCAGTTTCTTACAAATAAAGTTTGTAAGAAAATGTTCATTTTAAGTGCTAGATAACGGAGAAAATTTATCACCTAAAATATGCCATCACTATAAGGTAAGCAAAATCTTAACGTGGCAGCCATTCTGCCTTTGCCATGGCCCTGTCCTATTTAGTTCTCAATGGCTTTATTTTTGTACTTTTGCAGAAGAAACTTAAGCAAGCTAGAACTGGAAGGTACTTTAATTTTTCATATATATTTGTTTTTCCTTAATGAAGGCTCATTTACTTGAAATGTAAAAACTTTCACTGAATACAAATAGAAAAAGTGATGTAAAAAATATAATTAGTCAATAACTTCTGAGGTATTTAAACCTCAACCATTTGCTGATGTTTAAACTGAATTAAACTTAAGAGTTTAATTAAACGAGAGTTTCTGCACAGCAAAAGAAACAATCATTAGAGTGAAGCCCCATCTCTACTAAAAATAAAAAATTAGCCGGGTGTGGTGGCGCATGCCTGTAATCACAGCTACTCAGGAGGCTGAGGCAGGAGGATCGCTTGAACCTGGGAGGCAGAGGTTGCAGTGAGCTGAGATTACGCCATTGCATTACAACCTGGGCAACAAGAGTGAAACTCCATCTCAAAATAATAACAATAATGTTGTTCTTAGATGTAGTCTTGCCCAGAGTAAACTAAATGGCTTTTTGACTTCTCGAGAACTAAAGTTGTCAGAGTAAGCTTTAGTTTAGTTGCCAGAGTAAATTAAATGACCTTTTGACTTCTCAATAACCTGAGGTCAGGAGTTCGAGACCAGCCTGGCCAATATGGTGAAACCCCGTCTCTACTAAAAATACAAAATCAGCCGGACCGGTGGTGGATGTCTGTGATCCCAGCTATTTGGGAAGCTGAGGCAGAAGAATTGCTTGAACCCAGGAGGCGAAGGTTGCAGTGAGCTGAGACTGTGCCATTGCACTCCAGCCTGGGTGACAGCGACACTCTGTCTCAAAAAAAAAAAAAAAACCAGAAGAAAAATTCAGGGTGAAGTTGCTTGAATGAAGACAAATGAGATACTTTTAAAAGCCAGAAGCAGGAAGGAAATGTTGACTCAGCAGCTGCTACATTTGAGGGCTGTGCTTTTTTTGGGGGTGGGGTGGGGTGGGGCGGGGGGCATTGTGAATTTGCTAACCCAATAGTCCCATAGCTAGTTTTTTTCTTTCTCTCTAAACATGGAATTTGACACTTCTTGTCTTAGAGTTTGAAACTTCTGTTTCATCTGAGTTCCTTCCTCAGGAAAGGACACCCAGGCCTCCAAATCACCTCAGATCATCTCAACCAGATAATGAGATGCCAGTCTAGTCCCTTATTCAACATGATTGCTTCCTTACATCTCCATAGTTCCTATTTTCCCACACAGTGTTACATTTCTTCCCTGCTGCTACATAAACCCTTAATTTTAGTCAGACAGAGAGATGGATTTGAAGCTAAGCTCCTATTTCCTCTGCTGCAGCACCTGATGAAAAGCTTCTTGTTTGGCAATGATTGTTGTATCAGTGATTGGCTTTCTGTGTGGTGAGCAGCAGGACCTAGACCGAACTCCTGGTTTGGTAACAAATTGGGCTGATTTGGGAGCTATGGAGCTAGGTGATTGTGAATCCCCAAAGCTGAAGCAAAGGGTTTGGCCAAGGAGATCTGAGAGCCTCCATGAAAGGGTTCAAAGTAAGGAAGAAAACACTGTTGTCCTGAAGAAATGGTTTCAGGAGCCCAAAGCCATGATGCCAAAGAAGTTACAAAAAAGAGTAGGGAGGAATAATGGTCAGATGACTGCAGATTTCATGTTTAAAGATGTCACAGAGTAGGGAGAAATATGGTCAGATGATTGCAGATTCCATGTTTTAATGATGTCACAGAGCAGGGATGAATATGGTCAGATGACTGCAGATTCCATGTTTTAATGATGTCACAGAGCAGGGAGGAATATGGTCAGATGACTGCAGATTCCATGTTTTAATGACGTCACAGAGCAGGGAGGATTATGGTCAGATGACTGCAGATTCCATGTTTTAATCATGTCACAGAGTAGGGAGGAATAATGGTCAGATGACTGCAGATTCCATGTTTTAATTATGTCACAGAGTAGGGAGGAATAATGGTCAGATGACTGCAGATTCCATGTTTTAATGATGTCACAGAGTAGGGAGGAATAATGGTCAGATGACTGCAGATTCCATGTTTTAATCATGTCACAGAGCAGGGAGGAGTATGGTCAGATGACTGCAGATTCCATGTTTTAATGATGTCACAGAGTAGGGAGCAATATGTTCAGATAACTGCAAATTCTATGTTTTAATGATGTCACAGAGCAGGGAGGAATAATGGTCAGATGACTGCAGATTCCGTGTTTTAATGATGTCACAGCAGGGAGGAATATGGTCAGATGACTGCAGATTCCATGTTTTAATGATGTCACAGAAGGCAGGACACAATTGGAGAGCAACATTAGAGAAGGAGGATGGTTGAGAGTGGTATTAGCTAAAAGACTTGCAACTCTGCAACCTGTAAATGAGTCAGAGGATGGATTTATGCTACAAATTAAGGAGGGAGTGGATTAAAATTTGGTCGTATTGACAAAAACAGAGATGCTTTATTCAAAAACCCAAAAGAACTCCCAGAAGACTATACAAATTTAAGTTAGATTATTCCTATTAAACCAGAAACTGCCTGGCGAGGCATTCCACATAGCATTTGTAAATACAATGACATCTACATATAATCCAGTCCACCACTTCAATGCATGGATGTGCTGTAAGGGAAATGTGTTTCTAAGAACAAAGCTACAGATGACATTCTGTCAGCCAGTTAGAGACAAAACAGCTTAAGCTCAGCAACTCTAGAACCAGCAGGAGAAGAAGCAAGCTGATCCACTCCATCATACCCTCCTCAAAACTAGAGTAACCCTCAACATCAGAAGCCAGTGCCTTTACTTAGGATCCAAGGCACTAGGAAATCTGAATTCAGGTGAGCCTGGTTATCAATTCGCCCATACATTTGAGCAAATATATTGTTTTGTTGTGTCTCTTTATGCCTGCAAAAGAGAAAAATGTTCCAGCATCTGCCAGAGTTACATAGAACCAGAGCAAGATCATATACGTAAAATGCAGAAAAACATGGATTTTACTTTTGACATAATCATCTTTTAAATTCTCTCTTTCAATAGCTTCTATGATAAACTGTACTAATTCTGTTCATTCACTTATTAACTTGTTTATTCAATATTTGTTGAGTGTCCATATGTGCCAGTTACTCTTCAAGGTCATGGGGATAAATAGAGCAGTGAACAAAGTCGAAAAAATCTCTCTACCTAACGCAGCTTACCTTTTGACTCACCATTCTTCCACTCATTTTGCTATTTCATTTCCTTTTCTTCAATTAAATATATTTAATACATGCCCAGGCGAAGTGGCTCACACTTGTAATCGCAGCACTTTGGGAGGCCACGATCAGCAGACTGCTTGAACCCAGGAGTTGGAGACCAGCCTGGCCAACATGGCAAAACCCTGTCTCTACAAAAAATACAAAAATTAGCTGGGTGTGGTGGTGCATGCCTGTAGTTCCAGATACTTGGGAGGCTGAAGTGAGAAGATCATTTAAGCCTGAAAGGTAGAGGCTGCAGTGAGTCACTCTGTGCAACTGCACTACAGCCTGGACAGCACAGCAAGACCCTGCCTCAATATATAGACATATATACATACAGATATATGCCAGGACCTATATTAAGCATGTATTATCTATTACCTCATTTAATACTCTGAATGGCCTTCTAAGAGTGACACTAACGCCTGTTCATTAACTGTCAGAAGAAATGCAGCAGCTGGGTGCGGTGGCTCATGCCTGTAATCCCAGCACTTTGGGAGGCTGAGATGGGTGGATCACCTGAGGCTGGGAGTTCGAGACCAGCCTGACCAACATGGAGAAACGCTGTCTCTACTAAAAATACAAAAAAATTAGCTGGGCATGGTGGCACATGTCTGTAATCCCAGCTACTCAGGAGGTTGAGGCAGGAGAATCACTTGAACCTGGGAGGTGGAAGTTGCAGTAAGCCGAGATCATGCCACTGCACTTCAGCCTGGGCAACAATGAAACTCTGTCTCTCCAAAAAAAAAAAAAAGAAAAAAAAAAAAAAGAGAGAGAGAGGAAGAAATGATGCAGCACGGAAATGTGGCACAGCTTGCCTCGATCTTCTTAGCAAGGGAGGGACACAGCCTTTAATTTGGAGCCAGAGTCTATTTTTCTTTGCTAAGCTTTCTGCTATTTATCTTTAATGTCACATCTTAAATGTTTTGCTAATACAGATCTATGTGTGTTTTCCAAGAAACTATTCATTTTAATTATGCATTTGGCCAGGTGCCTGTAATTCCAGCACTTGGGGAGGCCGAGACCGGTGGTTCACCTGAGGTCAGGAGTTCAAGACCAGCCTGGCCAACATAGTGAAACCCTGTCTCTACTAAAAGTACAACAATTAGCTGGGTGTTGGTATGCACCTGTAATCCCAGCTACGTGGGATGCTGAGACAGGAGAATTGCTTGAACCTGGGAGGCAGAGGTTGCAGTAAGCTGAGATCATGCCACTGCATTCCAGCCTGGCAAGAGAGGGAGACTGTCTCAAAAAATAAAAAATAAATTATGCACTTAACCTTTAGGCAGAAGGCCTCAAAATCCTTTGCTCTGGCTGCCACCAGAGATCCGGGCCAAGACTTTGTCCTTATAATAAAGATGCATAAACCCCACAGGATCGCCAAGGACCTGAGTCATCTGGCCAGGCCTCTCACTGCAGCCTTATCTGCTGCCACCAGTCTGGTCCCACCTGCCAGCCTGCCTGGCCTTCTTGTGTCATCTGGATATGCCTTGCTCCCTCCTGCTGACATTTACCCTGTGCCCTTCATGCCTTCTGGGTGCATGGCCTTGTGGAGTCCCACTTCTGGCTTTCCAGTTTGTGTTCACCTGCCAAAGGTTAGCTCAGAGACCTCAGGAGTCTGCCCCCAACCCTGCAGCCTAGTTCAGAGTCCTCTGTTCTATTCCTACAGGACTGGTGAGTGGCCTTCCTTGAAGTTATTAGTTCATAATTGTATGTTTGCATGACTTCATATCCACCTCTTCTAGTTGATCTTAAGGCTCCTTGAGAAACGGAGTCCTACCTCTTTTCCTTAACGTGTGTGCTTTCAGTACCTGGAGCAATGTCTGAGGCTCCTGGCCACAAACAAACGCAATGTGTGCTCAGGGACGGATCGATTTGCCAGAGGCACATCCCACCGTCCTTTAAACTCAGCCATACTAAAGTTATTCTGCATAGATGCAGACATTGCCCCAGATTTGTCTCCTTTCTGGACGACATTAGAGACTTTAGTCCTCCCATTGGATGAAGTAACATACTCTGTCAAATCATTTTGCTCCTGTCTCAGCCTCCCCCACCTGACAAGTACAACACTGAGAGGCTAAGCTTGAATTATTCCTTCTGATAATCTCTACAGCTTTGTCATCTCCAAGACTGGCTTTGCAACAATCCTAAAACATGTGTATTCCTTATAGGACCCTCGTTGAACAAGGCCAGATATTTTTTCAAATATTTAGAATTGTTTTTTGCTGGCCTACAAACCTGTGATTATACACACCTAGGCAGGCCTCTTCCCGGGTCAGGCGGTGTCTCATGTCTCTATCAAGGGGTAATTAGTGTAAGAGAAAAAATGAAGTTTGAAAGAAAACATTTTAAAGAGTGATTATGCCAGATAAAGGGGAAAAGGCTTTTAAGAAATGAAAGGCATGAGAAGACCAGTAGCTCAGTAAACAATGAAAGGGACTTGGAGGGTGGAAGGTGGGCGAGGATGAGAGATCACTTAATAAGAACAATGTACAGGATTAGAGCGACTGCTGCACTAAAGCCTAGACTTGATGCAATGTATCCAAGTAAAAAAACTGCACTGGAACCCCAGAAATCTCTACAGAATCTATTTAATAATGATGGAGGCCAGGCGTGGTAGCTCATGCCTTAATCCCAGCATTTTGGGAGGCAAGTTTGGGAGGCCGAGGGGGGGCGGATGACCTGAGGTCAGAAGTTCAAGACCAGCCTGGCCAACATGATGAAACCCCCGTCTCTACTAAAAATCCAAAAATTAGCCCTGTATGGTGGTGCATGCCTGTAATCCCAGCTACTTGGGAGACTGAGGCAGAATCGTTTGAGAGAGGTGGAGGCTGCGGTGCGCCGTAATGGCGCCACTGCACTCCAGACTGGGCAACAGAGCAAGACTCCTTCTCAAAAAAAAGATGGAAGGAAGAGTTTGGTAATTCTCCAAATCTACAGAAAGTGAAGGTGCAGCACGAGGGATTCCAGTTAGAAGCGCCCGGTTTCCTCCGGTTTCCTGGGGAGCAAGGCGGGATGTCACCCAGACTGTTAGTTTTATCCTCTCCGGTGGGAGGGTCGGGGCAGCAGCTCGTCCCAACGCTTTAACTGGAGCCAGCGGCCGCCGCCCACCAGCGCCTGCTGGTCCCGCGGCGTGGGGCTCCTCCCTGCCGCGCCGGCGCCCGCGCGGACATAGCGCAGCGGCCCCGACGCAGGGAGGAGGGCAGCGCCCCGCAGTCGGGGAGGCCGGTCATGGCCGCGGGGCCGCCCGCGGAGCGTCTGCGCGACGAGGCCCGGTGCCCCGTGTGCCTGGACTTCCTGCAGGAGCCGGTGAGCGTGGACTGCGGCCACAGCTTCTGCCTCCGCTGCATCTCCGAGTTCTGCGCCAGGTCGGACGGCGCGCAGGGCGGTGTCTACGCGTGTCCGCAGTGCCGGGGCCCCTTCCGGCCCGCGGGCTTCCGGCCCAACCGCCAGCTGGCGGGCCTGGTGGAGGGCGTGCGGCAGCTGGGGCTGGGCGCCGGGCCCGCGGGGGCGCGGCGGTGCGCGCGGCACGGCGAGGACCTGAGCCGCTTCTGTGAGGAGGACGGCGCGGCGCTGTGCTGGGTGTGCGACGCCGGCCCCGAGCACGCCGCGCACCGCACCGCGCCGCTGCAGGACGCCGCGGGCCGCTACCAGGTGAGGGCGCCTCCGGCGGGGTCGGCGCGCGCCGGGAGGGGAGACGCGGGCGGCGGCCAGCGCGCAGCCGTCGAGGCCGCCGCGGGCTCCAGCGGCTCCTGCAGCCCCGCACCCGCCCGGCGCCCGCCACCGGCCCCCGCGGCGCACGCGCAGCTCGGCCGCCCTGGCCTTTGCTGTGGGGACCCCCTTTGCGACCCCTGTTCCGGAGCGCGCACACACCCACTGTTTTGGACTGGACGCCTCTGCGGCAAGCCCTCTCTTGTCTTCTAATTCTAAGTCGTCTTTAATCTGCGGACATATTTAACCGAAGGGCTGTCAATCACGCTGTAATGCATTGCAAATACTAGCTTTCTTAAAATTTTTATTTATTTTGTTTGATTGTTTTTAATTAAGGTTTAGAATATTTTCCCCTTCTCTCTGCGTTTACCAGTGTCTCTCTTATTATTTCTTCTTGATTTTGGTCATTTGAGAGATTTAGGTACTAGGTAATTTCTAGCTAGACTTTTGTGATATGTTCTTGGCTTTTTTTTAAATCCAGGAAACACCATACAGAAGATTGCTAGTGTAACATTTCTTTTCTTCTTCTTCTTTCTTTTTTTTTTGAGACAGGGAGACTCCGTCTCCCTTGTAGCCCAGACTGGAGTGCAGTGGGGTGATCTCCACTCACTGCAACCTTAGCCTCCAGGTCCCATTTCAAGTAGTTCTCCTGCCTCAGCCTCCCGAGTAGCAGGGATTACAGCCACGCACCACCACGCCCAGCTAATTTTTGTATTTTTAGTAGAGACGGGGTTTCACCATGTTAACCAGGCTGGTCTTGAACTCCTGATCTCGTGATCCTCCCACCTCCACTTCCCAAAGTGCTGGGATTACAGGAGTAAGCCACCGCCCCGGGCCTCTACTGTAATATTTCTAAAGGTGTTCTCTGTATTTTCCCTAGTGATTCAGTGAAATACCAAATAAATATTATCTAAACTCCTGAGCCTGTCAGTGAAAGCTTTCTAGGGCCGTAAGTTATTTTTCTATAGCTCCTGTCTTAACCGACCAGGAGACCCAGCAAATTCAGCTGAATCACTGTTGTCCTAAGTGTGCCACATCTGCTTGCTTTTGCTGACAGTCTGTTTGGCCTGCGGGAGCTTTTCTCTATCTACAAGTGTCAAAGTGCTCGGTTCTTTGTAAACACCAAAACAAATGCCACTTCCCCGGCTGGGTCAAATGGTATCATGAATTCTACTGTTATTTTATGTATAACAATTATAATGTTCTCCTTTTAAAAACAATTGATGTGTATGTAGGATTTATTGAGTAACTTTGAGAATAGAATTTTTAAATTAAAATCCTGTTTTTATATGTATCTTTGTGGGTGTTTTCTGTAAATAAAATACACACATTTACCTCTAGCGAGGGCGCTATCATTAAAGGGATATTTAGTTCCCATTGTATTTTTACTTATTGTAAGATTTAAAGTATATTGTATTTTTTCATATGAAATATGTTAACCTACCAAGTTTCTTCTGACCTAATAGTACTACTAATAATACAATAATAAACGCGTGTTTTATCATAATCAATAACTTCAAGAAGTTGAAATATAGAGATATTATAGCATCACTCTTCAACCAAACACCAATAGATGACATTTCATCTAATATCCTTCTCATTTACATCAGCCCAGTTTCAATATATCCATTACAAGCACATTGTTTTCAAAATTAATGTTGTTTTGTAAAATATTCTTATCTATTGATGTTATTTTATTTCTTGTCATGAAACATTCTGTAATGTCTTATTTTAATTCTATCCTATTAATGTTTTTTCTCCCCTATTTTTAACATTTTAGTTATTCTATCATATATAGTGATGCAGTGAGCATACTTTTAGATAAATACTTGATTGTATCTGGCATTAAAATACATTTAGGGAGGTAGGCACCGTGGCTCATGCCTGTCATCCCAGCACATTTAGAGGCTAAAATGGGACACTCTCTGGAGGCCAGCAGTTTGACATCAGCCTGGACAACATAATGAGACCCCATCTCTACAGAAAACAAAATTAACTGGGTATAATGACATGTGCCTGGAGTCCTAGCTACTTGGGAGGCTGAGGTGGGAGGATCACTTGAGCCCAGGAGTTGGAGGCTGCAGTGAGCCATGATCGCATCAGTGTGTAACAACCTGAGTGACAGAGTGAGACCCTGACTCTAAAACTAAAATACATTTGTTTAGTTTTTAATGATATTGAACATTTTTATGTGCTTTCTAGGGACTGTTTAAGTTGATCTTTGTATTTCCTCTCACATCTGAGTGACGTCGGGTACTGACTGACGTCAGGCATCTGTAACAGCTTTGGAATATCTTCCCAAACAGGTACAGCTCCAGATGGCTCTGGAACTTGTGAGGAAAGAGATGGAGGAGGCCTTGACTCAGGAGGCCAACTTGGGGAAAAAGACTGTCATTTGGAAGGTAAGAGCATGTTGGGGCTTTAGGAGGCTTGTGTGTTTGAAGGATCCAGGTTTGGATCAATAAGTCTTCAAGCATCATCCATTCTCCAGCACTTTTGTTCCATCTCTATAGTTGCTCAAGAAGAACATCTCAGGGCCATCCTGGATCATCGCTGTCCCCTCAAATGATATGGTTCATTTTTGTTTTGGTCTCTATTGCCATCACCCAATCCAAATTATAATTCAGTAACTTTACAAGCTTGATCTTACTGTGAAATCCACTGCTGTATCCCTATCACATAGAATAACATCTTATACTGTCACTACTGGTTTAAAAATATTAGGTGAATGAAATAATGAATATTTCACAACTTTGTAACAGATGAAACTACAGCACAAGATGATCATCTTATGTACAGGGAATAATTTGAAGATGCAGCCTTTTTTTTGATCATCTATACACATATTCCATCTTTTTTACACCTCACCAGCTCTTTTTATTCCCTTAATGTTTCGTTTATGCACATGTGTGTGCACACATGTATACACACACACACGCATACACACAGTGATTCACATACACACAGTGATTCTCAGTCTGGGGCGACACCCCCCCCCCTTAGATACATTTTGCAATATCTGGAGATATTTTTGGTTGTCACAACTGAGGAAGGGTGGGTGCTGTACACCTATCATCTAGTAGAGGCAGGAATGCAGCTTAACACCCTGTAGTCCACAGGACAGTCCCCATAACTTACAAGAAAAACTGATCTGTTCAAGATGTCTATATTGTCAAGATTGAGAAACTATATATAGAAACTGTGTGTATAGTTCTATATATTCATATAGTGTATTACATAATACGATATATATATAATAGGTTATACTGGACAGAATATTCCTATTCTTTTTCCTTTTCCAAATAACCCTTCTTTTCTGATCACTCTATATATTTCTAATTCTTTCCTTCTTTTCTTTGAAAATTTAATCTTATACTCCATCTTTACACAGATATTACATAAAGACTTTTTTTTTTGAGATGGAGTTTCACTTTGTCGCCCAGGCTGGAGTGCAGTGGAGCGATCTTGGCTCACTGCAACCTCTGCTGCCTGGGTTCAAGCAATTCTCCTGCTTCAGCCTCTTGAGTAGCTGGGATTACAGGCACCTGCCACTGTGCCTGGCTAATTTTTGTATTTTTTTTTAAGTAAAGACGGGGTTTCGCTAACTTGATCAGGCTGGTCTTGAACTCTTGACCTTGTGATCCACCCGCCTTGGTGTGAACCACCAGGCCTGGCCATAAAGACTATTTTTTAACTACATTTTTCTACATTTACTACAGTACTAGATTATAATATATATACATAGTGATAGGAAAGGATAACACTTACCCCAGAAGAAAAATGTACATTATAGGTAAATACTGTACATAGTGCTAGAAAAGGATAAAAGTTATCAATATTAAATAATATGGTTGTTAATAACATCAGTACCTGACGTTACTCAGATGTGTGAAGAAGTAGTAAAACTTATTAATGTTAATACTGACAAGCTTGTTTATCAATATTATTAACAAATATTTTTAAACTAGTAGTGACAGTATAAGGTGCAATTCTAGGTGATAGGGATATGACAATGGGTTTTACAGTAAGAGCAAGCTAGTAAAGCATAGTTTGGATTGGGTAGTGGCAATAGAGATAAAAAGAGTAAGAACAAATCTTTACAATATTAAATAATGTACATTATTGACATGTAATGTACCTAGTGATAGGATGTACATTATTTTATTGTAATATTGATTAATAATGTTTGTTCTTTTCAGGCTGAAATACAAGTCCATTGTTTTCAATCCTGGCTTGACCATAGATCTATAAAATCAGAATCCCCATATTCGGAGATCTGAGATCCTGCATGCTTTAAGCCCTCTACCCATTATTCTTAAGTAGGGATGATACTAATATCTTTGTTCTAAGCCAGGTAAACTTGCATGATCACTACCATCAAGAATGTATCCGTGTGAGCCAAGTACAGCAAGCACATGTTTGGTAAAAAGGTTTCTAAATACTACAGAACAACCTTTCCTCTTTCTCTATCTGCAGATATAGTTGTGCTCAAGAGGGTGGTGTGAAAGGAAGATGAATTGCAGGCAAATCGCTTCCCACCACACCCTCCCTCACGCCCCAGGTATGACTCTACTCTTTTCTAGCGGCTGTGTTACTTGCCCCACCCCACCACAGCCCAGCCTCTGATATGAAGAGAGCTTCTCATATTTACATGAGTTACATCTTTCAGGAATCACCACATGGAATTCAGAGTTGACTGATTTCAGAAACAAGGTGAAGTCTTCTGAATCTGGTGATCTAGAAAATGGTAGAAGGGGCCAGTCATGGTGGCTTATGCCTGTAATCCCAGCACTTTGGAAGACTGAGGTGGGAGGATCACCTGAGGTTGGGAGTTTGAGACCAGCCTGACCAACATGGTGAAACCCTGTCTTTACTAAAAATACAAAAATTAGTTGGGCGTAGTGGCAGGTGCCTGTAATCCCAGCTATTCAGGAGGCTGAGGCAGGAGAATCGTTTGAACCTGGGAGGCACAGCTTACAGTGAGCCGAGATTGTACCACTGCACTCCAGCCTGGGTGACAGAGTGAGACTCCATCTTAAAAAAAAAAAAATGGTGGAAGTAGAGATGGAAAATGGAAGGAAGGAGTTAAGTCTTAGGGGATGTTTAGAGTTTAAAAAGGTGATAGCTTCTGCCTTTTAGTCAAAGCAAGAAGATAACCACATTTAAAAACAGGCAAATGACTTTACCTATGAAGCAATATAACAATGTAATAAAACTGCATTTGTACCCCATGAATATATACAAAAAATGCAATCAATAAAAACAGGACAGAGAATCCGAGGTATGGGTACTTCAAGGGAATGATTTGCCTGTCAAACTCAGTTTAAAGTTAGCTTCTTGTATACTCATCTTGAGAGAAGGAAATCTACCAAATAAACCTGTGACAAAGTATGTTCCTTAGGTCTATTCAAAAACTGTAGATGTGAGATTTGGGTAGCAGTCAGGATTAGTTCCCTGATGTGAACGCTGAAACTGTGGCCTGAGCATCGCTTAGTTCTTTCTTGGCTTTGTAGAGAACGTTAGGCTTATGGTTGTGTTCACTATTACCATATTATGAAACAGCATTCATATTTTCTCATCTCTAGGCCTTTCTTATTCAAACAATTCTAGGTCTCTAATATTTCTTCAAGATTCAGTTGTTTCGAGTGGTTCTAGTGAGTAATCTACTGGTAAATAGTAACTTCTGTTGTGTCACTGCTCTATGCTAATCACTGTTCTTGCAGTTTAATAGATATTTAACTGTAATCCACATATTCTTCTTTTCCCCACATTTTTAAAGAGATGGAGTCTTGCTCTGTTGCCCAGGCTGAAGTGCAGTGGTGCAGTCATCGTTTACTGCAGCCTCGAGCTGTTAGGCTCAAGTGATCCTCCCACCTCAGCCTTGTGGGTAACTGGAACTGCAGAGCTTACCACCATGCCCAGCTAGTTGATTTTAATTTTTTTAGAGATGGGGTTGCGTCTTGCTTTGTTACCCAGGCTGATCTTGAACTCCTGGCCTCAAGCAATCCTCCCGCCTCAACTTCACTGAAATCTCACATTTTGTGTATGGTGCTGAAACTTGAATATGAAAGTGCCTCACCCCAAAGCCTATGGCAAAATGGGAACCCCAGTCCAACATTATTTTTCAAACTTTAGTTTGAACACTTGGCTGGGCACAGTGGCTCATGCCTGTAATCCTAGCACTTTGGGAGGCCGAGGCCAGTGGATCACGAGGTCAGGAGTTTGAGACCAGCCTGGCCAACATGATGAAACCCCATCTCTACTAAAAATACATACACATACACACACACACACACACACACACACACACACACACGCACGCACAATCAGCTGGGCATGGTGGTGCACACCTGTAGTCCCAGCTACTTGGGAGGCTAAGGCAGAAGAATAACTGGAACTTGGGAGATGGAGGTTGCAGTGAGCTAAGAACGTGCCACTGCACTCCAGCCTGGGTGACAGAGTGGGACTCTGTCTCAGAAGAAAAGAAAACTCTACTGGGCTGCTTCTTATATGAATGGACTGCAGTCTGCCCATGTTGTTGGAATGCAGCCAGTCAGTCCACAGAGTTACGGAGCTCAGGAAATGCTGGATGTTGCCTTCTCCAGCATCATCCTGTACACAGCTGCAGGAGGCCAAGTGTGATGACGTGATCCACTGTGTCACCTCAGGAGAAAGTGGAAATGCAGAGGCAGCGCTTCCGCTTGGAGTTTGAGAAGCATCGTGGCTTTCTGGCCCAGGAGGAGCAACTGCAGCTGCGGCGGCTGGAGGAGGAGGAGCGAGTGACCCTGCAGAGACTGCGTGAGAGCAAGGGCCGGCTGGCCCAGCACAGCAAGGCCCTGAAGGAACTGGCAGATGAGCTGGAGGAGAGGTGCCAGCGCCCAGCCCTTGGCCTGCTGGAGGTGAGGCCGGGTGCCACAAAAGCAGGCAGATGTGAGACTGACGTGGGAGACAAGGACAGTGGCTTTCAGAGACAAACACTTTGGCATTTGTGTTCTTTAGGAAACGGCACCCTAGAATTTCTCAGAAGGCAGCTTAAACACCCTAGAATTTCTCAAAAGGCAGCTTAAACACCCTAGAATTTACTCAGAATCGTGAGATTCTAGAGAATTCTATAGTTTGAATCTGGCATGGTGGCACATGCCTGTAGTTCCAGCTACTACAGAGGCTGAGACAGGAGGATCGCTTGGTCCAAGGAAATTGAGACCAGCCTGGGCAACACAGCAAGACCCTCTCTCAAAAAACAAACAAATAGTGTATGGTTCATATTAAGGACTAAAGAATTGTTTAAATTAAAATTAATTTAATGATTTCTGAGAATGTAAACAGCTAGGAAAAGGACAGGCTGCCCTCTGCTGGTGACGAAGTGTTTCTTGAAACCTCACATTCAGGTTGTCACGAAGGCACTGCAGTTTTTCAGTGATGGCTAACCCAGAAAGTCTGCATGACACATTTCAGTGTCACAGCCAAAAGGGTGAATAATGATTTAAATTGTCCAGCTTGAAACTGTTATACTGGACTGTAAAGCAAACACTTGTTTCCTGGCCCACGTTGCATGCCTGTTTCAGGCACGGTGAGGAGGGGTTACGTGGACTCCTGTGTAGTTTGCTCCCAATCTATTTGGGATTAGAGAACAGAAAGACAAATAACAGTAAAATGAAATCTTTGCTTTTAATCCTCTGTGGAGACATCATATCCCAGTGAACAGTGAAAGCCGCAGTTGTTGATGAATCCGTGTTTTCTTGAGAGAATCAATGCCAACAGGAATTTATCTGGGCGACTTCTTTTTTTGGAGATGGAGTTTTGCTCTTGTTGCCCAGGCTGGAGTGTAATAATGACATGATCTCAGCTCACCACAACCTCTGCCTCGCGGGTTCAAGCGATTCTCCTCCTTCAGTCTTCTTAGTAGCTGGGATTACAGGCATGTGCCACCAGCCAGGCTAATTTTTTGTATTTTTAGTAGAGACGGAGTTTCTCCATCTTGGTCAGGCTGGTCTTGAACTCCCAACCTCAGGTGATCTACCTGCCTGAGCCTCCCAAAGTGCTGGGATTACAGATGTGGGCCGCTGCGCCCAGCCTATCTGGGTCGACTTCTGTCTCCTCCCCAATGACTCATTCAGGGAGTTCTAAACTAAGTGATTCATGTCCTCATTTAACAGCTGACCCACAGATTCTACCTTTTCAGACTTAGTTCTAGACACTGAAAGACCATGAATATAAATAATCATATTAATTATCTGTATAATATTTACAAGTACAGTGACTAAACAGTACTGGTGACGTGTCAGGGGAGCATTAAATGAATGAATTTATAAAGCAGTTTAATTTGTCTCATTTTATCTTTTATATATATATATGCATATGTATATATAAAAGATATATATATATATAAAAGATATATAAATTATATTTTATTATTATTGTTATGTTCATTTCCTTAGTAAACTAGAGTCAGAAAGGAGTTAATTTTCTAAATAGCAGATAGCAAATAAACACAAGAACTTTGACAGTTTCTTTCTTTTTTTTATTTTTTGAGACAGAGTCTCACTCTGTTGCCCAGCCTGGAGTACAGTGGTGTGAACTTGGCTCACTGCAACCTCCACCTCATGGGCTCAAGCGATTCTCCTGCCTCCGCCTCCTGAGTAGCTGGGATTACAGGCATGTGCCACTGCACCTGGCTAATTTTTGTTGTTGTTGTTGTATTTTTAGTAGAGACAGGGTTTTGCCATGTTGGCCAGGCTGGTCTTGAATTCCTGACCTTAGGTGATCCATCCACTTTGGCCTCCCAGAGTGCTAGGATTATAGGCATGAGCCCCCGTGTCTGGCTTGACAGTTTCAACAATAACATTTATTGCCTTAACTCACCATGTCTCACGTAACAACCATTTAAATTTAGCACTTTACCACCAAATAGATGTTATAAAACAAATTATAGGGAGGATAAATTCTTGAATAATGTATCTATCTATTTTTTTTAAAAGACAGGATCTCGTTCTGTCACTCAGGCTGCAGTGCAGTGGCATGATCATAGCTCATTGCAGCCTCAGTCTCCTAGATCAGGCAATCCTTGTGCCTCAGCCTCCTGAGTAGCTGGCTAATTTTGTAAAAAGTTTTAGTAGACATGAGGCTTGGTTATGTTGCCCAGGCTGTATATTTTTACACTTTCCTTTCCCTTTCTTCCCTGGTACTAATAAGCTACATTTTACCCCCAAAGGCCAGGACCAAGACCTGACATTCCCATACAGGGTAAAGCAGATTTTTTTTCCCTGCTTTTATGCCATCAGGACTTATCTGACTGGTGACTGTTTTTAAGGGGGGAGGGGAAATGTATCCCAAATACAATTATTAATGTAATAAATATATTACAGATATATTTATTTAATAATCTACTTTGAGAAAAATTGTTGCTAGTTATTAAAGGCTTTCTTTTTTTTTTTTTTTTTTTTTTTGAGACGGAGTTTCACTCATGTTACCCAGGCTGGAGTGCAATGGCACGATCTCGGCTCACCGCAACCTCCGCCCCCTGGGTTCAGGCAATTCTCCTGCCTCAGCCTCCTTAGTAGCTGGGATTACAGGCACGCATCACCATGCCCAGCTAATTTTTTGTATTTTTAGTAGAGACGGAGTTTCACCATGTTGACCAGGATGGTCTCGATCTCTTGACCTGGTGATCCACCCGCCTCAGCCTCCCAAAGTGCTGGGATTACAGGCTTGAGCCACCGCGCCCGGCCAAAAGGCTTTCTTTTTTAATCTACTTAGGTAACCGACTCGATATGAATGGCTCTGGTATGTTGGTTCAAAGAATTAGGAATTTGTAATTCTTATAAAGACATTTAGGGAAACATTTTGTGTCTTTATTTGAGGAACCTTTCCCTGCCCTCCAAATAAATTCTACAAGTTCTTAGGATCTATTTTATCCTATTCCGTCTGAATTACATGCAGAATGTTACTCTGCTACAATATCCAAGTGCCAGAATTATTAATTCAGAAGATAAATTGATAGATGTTACAGGAATTAATCTAAATTTTGTGTGGCTTTAAAGAAAAGAGATTTGGCCAGGCACAGTGACTCATGCTTGTAATCCCAGTACTTTGGGAGGCTGAGGTGGGTGGATCACCTGAGATCAGGAGTTTCGAGATCAGCCTGGTCAACATGGTGAAACCCTGTCTCTACTAAAAATACAAAAAAAATTTAGCCAGGTGTTTGGTGGACATCTGTAATCCCAGCTACTCGGGAGGCTGAGGCAGGAGAATCACTTGAACCTGGGAGGCAGAGGTTGCAGTGAGCCGAGATCGCGCTGTTGCACTCCAGTCTGGGCAACAAGAGTGAAACTCCATCTCAAAAAAAAAAAAAAAAAAGAAAAGAGAAAATAGTTTTATTGTCCCCTATAATTTTATCTTAATCGTTAATGTTTTCCAGTAATTTCTAAGGAAATTTTCATGGTGTCCCTAGTCTGACTGTGAAAAGCAATTTGGAGGTCCAGCTCATGCAGTTTGTGTTTTTCTTTCCTTTTCAGGGTGTAAGAGGAGTCCTGAGTAGGTGTGTCTGCTTTCTGAATTGGTGAAGGGATTGGGAGAGGCAGAGGAGCTGGTGGATGGCGCTGCTGACTTCTGTGGTTTCTGTGCTCTTCTCAGAAGTAAGGCTGTCACGAGGCTGGAAGCAGAGAACATCCCCATGGAACTGAGGACAGCATGTCGCATCCCTGGGAGGAGGGAAATGCTGAGGAAATTCCAAGGTAGTTTGCACTTTAGGGATTGGAAATTCAGTGCGTGGGGTTTGCCTAGTATTGCAGTGTGCCAGTCAGCTGCAGTGACCCACAGAACCTGAAGTCTCAGTGGCCCACATCAGCGGATATTTATTTTGAGACTGTGCTGTTGGTTTGTTACTGGGTGTGGGGCCTTCTGTGGTACCTCTCCTCACTCTGGGACCCATGCTGACAGAGCTCCACCTTCCTGCTGGTGCTGGGAGCCATACACAAGGGCAAGGTTATTAAAGGGATGGGGGATAAGTTCTCTTTACAGCATCAATACAGCATATCACTTCTGGTCACCAAAATGTGTGGGGATTTCTCCCGCAAACAGCCAATCTGTTCTCCAGCAGATGCTCCAGCCAGAAGTCCTTCCCTGCCATTTGATTTTGACACTATCTACCTGGAGATGGCATCAGGTCCCACAGGCTGAGGGTTTAGTCCCACAGACTGACCCCACTTCATATGCTGGTCACAAGCACAGGTTGTGGCCTATGATTCTGACCAACTGACTGTAAATTGGGGTTCCCACCACCTCCTTCTTGAGTTCACCTAATTTCCTGAAACAGCTCACAGAACTCAGGGACACATTTTTACTCACTTATTATAATGGGTGTTACAGAGGATACAGATGAACAGCTGGAAGAGATTCATAGGGTGAGGTTTGTGAGAAGCGGTATGGAGCTTCACACCCTGTAGGCATGCTACCTTCAGAACCGCCATGTGTTCAGCTATCTGGAACTCCTCAGAACTCAGTTCTTTTGGTTGTTTTTGTTTTTGTTTTGAGATGGAGTCTCACTGGAGTGGAGTGGTGCAATCTTGGCTCACTGCAACCTCCGCCTCCCAGGTTCAAGCAATTCTACCTCAGCCTCCAGAGTAGCTGAGACTACAGGCACATGCCTCCACGCCCAGCTAATTTTTGTATTTTTAGTAGAGATGCGGTTTCACCTTGTTAGCCAGGATGGCCTTAATCTCTTGACCTCGTGATCCACCTGCCTCGGCCTCCCAAAGTGCTGGGATTACAGGCATGAGCCATCAGACCTGGCCTCTTTTGACTTTTTATGGAAGCACTATGTAGACATGATTGATTAAGTCATAGGCCATTGGTTTATCAACCCACCCTTCTCTTCTTCAGAGGTGGGTGGGCGCGTGGCACACAGGACTGAAAGTTTCCAGCCTCTAATCACGTGGCTGGTGCCCCTGGTAACCCACACCCAGTGGGGGCTTTCTGGGGGTCACCGACTACAAGTCATCCCACTAGCATACAAAAGACACTTGTCTTTCTGGAAATTCCAAGGATTTTAAGAACTGTATGTCAGTAAACAGGATGTAGACCAAATATATCCTTCACAGTATCAGTGGTGTGGTGACTCATGCACTCCTCTTAAAGGCATCCATGCTGAATGGGGCATGTGACCTTGCTGAGATTTCATGGCTATGCCAAACTGTAAAGGAGACAGTGTAGAGGGCAAGGCAGAACTTTCCCCTTCCCTCCAGGAATGTTTGCTGAAAATCAACTGACCAAAGACAAATAGGAACACAGGCATAGAAAAGTTGTAACATTCATAGCACAGTGGAACTGTAGGAGAGTAATTACCCAGTAACTCAGTGGGATGCAGATGCTTACATACCCTTCTTTATTGGAGGAAAGGAAGATGGGGAGATGTGGGTGATTTTAGGGGGATAGTAAATGATTTTTTTCGAGGATTCTTTGGGCTTGATGTACATACAGTGGCTTGGGACAAAGTCTGTTGAAAAGTAGACAGTGGTTTGTGACTAAAGTTTGTCCAGGTGTGTTCACAGATTAAGTCTGTCTTCCTGCAGTATGAGCTAAATTATTTAAGAACACAGAGACTTTAGGCAGATAAATGACTGTTAGAATAAAGCTTCCTCCAGTGTGTGCTGGTCTCCAAGGACCTTTGCTTTAAAATAATGGGTTTACCAGGGTGCCATATGTTAGGGTAAAATTCCCTGCCCTCCTTCAGTGGGAGAGTACACCATGCCAGAAGAATAAGGATTGGTATATTCATGAAGAACATCAGAGTCACGGCCACCCATAGAGTCTATATTTGGTTAGAACAATGGGTGCAAAATTGTAGTTTATCTCCTATTAGCTGTGATATAAGTAACGTTAGTCCCAGTAAATTTCCATTTTTCCTTGTTTATAAAATGCTAAAAAAACTGTTTGGAGGACAAAATGAAACATTTGAAAGCACCCCACCTCCTGAAAGTAATCAATATGAAAGCATTGCAGTTATCAATTAACAAGAAGTTTGGTTTAATATACTGGCTGAGAATTTGATGATTTGCTTGAATTAGTCAATAAAGCCAAAAATATTGTTAATTATTTTTATGTAGGAATAAGCAGTATCACAAAAATTTAGTTTGTTCAGTCTGATTGTGTTATTCTTTAAAACAGTATAGATTCAGTATTTTTTTAAAATTTCATTTTAAAATCTAATTTATCCCAAGTAATGAAAATAGTCTATGTCTGAATGGTCACTTCACTACTTACAGAGAAAGATTGTAATGTCTCCTTAATGAGAAAACCCATCTCCTCACCATAGTACCCACGTTCTCATGGGCAGATGAATATGTACTAAATGCCTGACTTGATTAAAGTTATCATGTCACCATCAGACACAGGTAACCTCATATCAATATTTATTTCTATTGAATGAAATAATCAGTTCAAAATGTATTACTCATTTTATCTCATCCATTCTTTTAAACATTGGAATATATCATTCAACAACAGCAACAAAATACGCTACTACAGTCCATAGCTTTGTGTTGCAGATATTTACTTAATCAAAATACACAGACTGTAAGCGGATGATGCAGGTTATTGAGGAAAATTAAAAGGAGTGTGAAAAGGGTAACAAGAAGTTCTAGTTTTGAATAAGGTGACCAGGGAAGACCTTGGCCTGTAGCGGATAGCCCAGCAAACATGTGATCTGGAAGAAAGCATTCAGGCAGCAGAAATGAACACTAAGGCCTGACATGGAGGATGGCAGGTGTGTTCCAGGAGCCGTGAGGATGCCAGTGTGAGGACTCTCTGGCAGAGTAAATGACAGGAGGGTTGGAGAGACCAAGGAAGGGCTAGATAGGCAAGCCACTCTGAGTATGATACTTTATCCCTGAGTGACATAGGACATCACTGAAAGATGATTGGGCCAGGCACCATGGCTCATGCCTTTAATCTCAGCCCTTTGGGAGGCCAAGGTGGGCAGATCACTTGAAGTCAGGAATTTGAGACCAGCCTGGCCAACACGATGAAAACCCATCTCTATTAAAAATATAAAAATTAGCCCACACCCAACTACTTGGGAGGCTGAGGCAGGAGAATTGCTTGAACCCAGGAGATGGAGGTTGCAGTGAGCTGAGATCGTGCCACTGCACTCCAGCCTGGGCAACAAGATTGAGGCTCTTTCTCAAAAAATAGAAAAAGAAAAATAGTTTGTACTAATGTTTTCTGAGGATCACTCTATATGCATTCTTGTAAGTAAATTACAGAGAAGAGAAGACTGACATGGGAAAAACAGCTAAGGATTTTTGGAGTAATTTGGTGAGAGATGATTATGTTGGTACATATGTTATTACTGAAGGTGCCGCAAGATGGACAGATTGTTGTTATATACTGAAGGCAGAGCTGGTAAGATTTGCTGTTGGATTATGTATGGTGTGCCATAAAAAAGAACAGCCAGGAATGATTCCAAGGTTTTGGATCTTACAAACTGACAAAATGTGATTGCCACTTATATTGATGAGGAAAGCTGCACTTGAAGCAGAAGGAGGAGGTTGGGTTTTGGACACGTGGTTATTGCGATGAGTGCTAAATATCCAAATATTGGTGTCAGGTAAACAGATGAATGTACAATATGGAGTTTCAGGGTAAAGGTCAAACCTAAGGACATGCATTGAGAATCAGTCATCATATGAATGGAAGTTTATCAAAGCAATGAGCCAGCCAAGCCCCGGGTAGATAGGGAGTGAGCTGAGAGAGAAAGAAGAGGCCCAAGTCTTGGGACCACAGGTTTCTCCAGTGGTGGTGGACGAGGAGAGGAGAACAGCAATCAGGGCCAAGGAGTAGCAGGCAGAGAGGAAGGGGAGACATGGATGAGTGTTATCTTTGGAAACAGGAGACTTTTTGGACAAATGGATTCTCAGTAGTGTTGAGAGCTACAGAAACATCATTTAAGATGAACTATGACAAATAACCATTCATCAACGTGGAGGCCCCTGGGAAGATGGACATGAGCAGTTGGGGTGGAGTGTGGTCATATCATGATGAAGAATTGAGTTTAGGAGAGAAATGGTAGGGAGAGGAATAGGATATAGACCACATCAAAAGCCATTTCACAGTTCTCTTTTGTTAGAAATGACGCAGACAGGTGTGCCGGAGCAGGAATGGCGTGGGGACACATGACCTATGTTAAATGCACACTCAGTGGAGGCCTGCCTCCCAACCTCTGTTATTCATCTCTAGAGTCTGGAAAACCACATCAACTCTTTGACTCTGAATCTACTCTTGTGTAATGCGGGGATGACTGTGGTGACTGTCAGGGTGGCTGCGTGAGTTAATATAAATAATGCAGTGGGCAGTTATGTGACCACTCAGGTTGGATATCAAGAAGAGTTTACTAGGCTGGCTGTGGTGGCTCACGCCTGTAATCCCAGAACTTTGGGAGGCTAAGATGGGTGGATCACGTGAGGTCAGGAGTTTCAAACCAGCCTGGGCAACATGGCAAAACCCCATCTCTACAAAAAATACAGAAAACTAGCTGGGCAAGGTGGTGCATGCCTGTAGTCCCAGCTACTCAGAAGGCTGAGGTGGGGGGATTGCTTGAGTCTGGGAGGTGGAGTCTGCAGTGAGCCGTGATTGCACCACTGCACTCCAGACTGGGCAACAGAACAAGGAAGGCTCTGTCTCAATTTAAAAAAAAAAAGTTCACTAGAAGTGTTTAGAGGCAAATAAGTGTAGTGGCAGTGGCAGTAGTGGGTAGTACCATGGCAATAGCAGTAGCAGTAGAAGGAGTATTTGTTCTGATGTTAAAAATCAAACTATATTCACATGTTAGTCTGTTTTTGCCTTGCTGTAAAGAAATACCTGAGGCTGGGTATTTTGTTAATATAAGGATATGTGGTTTATTTTGGCTCATGGTTCTGTAGACTGTACAGGAAGCATGGTGCTCGCACCTGCATCTGGCGAGGCCTCAGGAAACCTCCAGTCATGGTGGAAAGCAAAGGGGGAGCCAGCATATCACATGGCAAGAAAGGAAGCAGTGAAGTGGGGGGCTTCCAGGTTCCTCTTAAACAAGCAGCTCTTGCAAGCTAAGCCACATTTCAACATGAGATTCCGAGGGGATACACATCCAAACCGTGTTATTAATTAACTTGCTACTTATGAGGAATGCTTATAAGGAAATCCACTGAATATTTTACATTCTCCCTTCTTCCTTGAGTTTCATATCTAGACATATTTATTTACTATGTATATGGGTCAGATGTCTCATCAGTCTTGCTGGGACTTCACAGTATCAATTTTTTTAATTGTTATATAACAAGTCACTGCAAGCTTAGCTGCTTAAAGCCATACCATTTAGTATCTCACAGTTCTGGAGATAGACATCCAGGTGGGATCAGCTGGCTCCTCTGCTTCCTCTGGTTTCCTCAAGGCCCAAATATGGGTGTTGGCTAGGCTAGGCTTCTCTGTAGGTCTGGGGAAGAATCTTAACCCCTGAGCTTATTCAGATTGTTGGCATAATGCAGTTCCATGCAAAGGCAGTACTGAGATTCCTGTTTTCTTGCTGGCTGTTGGTTGGGGGCCATTCCAGCTCTGGAGAGCACTCTCAGCTCTAGAACTCACTCGTCTTTCTCCTCATGTGACCTTTCCCTCTTCAAAGCCAGCAAAGAGATATCAAATCCGTGTCTTATTGACCTTTCCTGCTGCCACCAACCCAGTAGCCAGAGAAAACGTTATGATTTTATAGAACTTGTGGGATTAGATTCGATCCATCTAGATAATCTGTCTCTTGTCATATAATGTAACATAGTCATAAGGCTAACACCAGGGTGTGAAGGTCGTGGGGTCCGTCTTAGAATTCTGCCTACCACAGTAATATAATCTTGAAGGTAGTGGATTTCATGTTAATAAAATTCTCCTATAGATTTTAAGAAAAAGAAACCCCTAAGGGGTTTATAAATTTTATGTTAAATGCAGAGGATCCTCCTACGTGTACCCAAATGCTTTGGATGTAAGCCAGACATGGTGGTGTGCACCTAGAGTCCCAGATACTGGGGAGGCAGACACAGGAGGTCCCTTGAGTCCAGGAGTTTGAGGCTGTAGTGTACCATGGCTGTGCCCCTAAATACCTCTGAACTCCAGCCTGGGCAACATAGTAAGACTCCGTCTCACACACATACACACACACACACACACACACAAATGCTTTAGATGTAAATGAAACTAAATGATTATTCACTTGCTTTGTCATCATCACTTAATTGTTTTCATTGGGGAAGTTAATGAGTTCTGAGTTATGCAGAGGAAACAGTGGAATAGACCAGAAAGTAATATAGAATAAAGAATAATGAAGTAATAAAGAATATTTCACTTATAAGGTGAAATACTGATTTGTTTTCTCTAGGAGTTATTAGAGAGAGAAAAGTGAGGAACTGTGGGACTATTCTTTGCAGTGGCTTCCTAAGTTTCTGCCAGTCCTTTCTTTCCTTTCACCTGCTCCACCAAATTCTTTCCACAGTGGATGTAAAGCTGGATCCCGCCACGGCGCACCCCAGTCTGCTCTTGACTGCTGACCTGCGCAGTGTGCAGGATGGAGAACTGTGGAGGGATGTCCCCAGCAACCCTGAGCGATTTGACACATGGCCTTGTGTCCTGGGTTTGCAGACTTTCTCGTCGGGAAGGCATTACTGGGAGGTGCAGGTGGGAGAAGGAGCGGAGTGGGGGTTAGGGGTCTGTCAAGACACACTGGTAAGAAAGGGGGAAACCACACCGTCTCCTGAGAACGGGGTCTGGGCCCTGTGGCTGCTGAAAGGGAATGAGTACATGGTCCTTGCCTCCCCATCAGTGCCTCTTCTCCGACTGGAAAGTCCCCGCTGCGTTGGGATTTTCTTGGACTATGAAGCTGGTGAAGTCTCATTTTACAACGTCACAAATGGATCTTATATCTACACATTCAACCAGCTCTTCTCTGGTGTTCTTCGGCCTTACTTTTTCATTTGTGATGCAACTCCTGTTGCCTTGCCACCTATAACAGCAACAGAGTCAGGAAATTGGGCATCCAGGGATCATTTAGATCCTGCTTCTCATGTAAGAGATGATCATCTCTAAAATTCTGTTCCAAGATGCAGTCCTAGCCTAGCCAACGTTCCTGGAGGGGTGAAGGATGTCAACATGCTAAGTTTTAACAAATACCCTCATTTAGGCCAGCACCATATTCCTTGTTGCTGTGGAAATATTTCTATGGGACAAAAGAAATGATATGAAATATTTGCATCCGGGAAGATTATAGAGCATAATGATTTTAGAAATGGAGCAGCCTCAGCCTCTATTTCTAGATCACACTTTCTTGATGAGTCCTCCTTCAAATTAATGACCTTGGATTGCATAAGGATTTCTTTTCATTCATTAACATTTTTTATACCTTTTAATATCCTTTTATTCCAAATCTTCCATGTAAGAATTAACATGGCAATTCTTAAATGGATTCAGAATGCTGTGATACTATTCCAGTATCACATCCATAATTCTGTATTTCTCCTCCTTTTCCTGATTTTCCTCCTCATTCTCTCCTTTCCCCTCTATCTTTCTGTTATTCTCGCTCTTTGTCTCTCTCATTCCTTGTTTCTTACCTCTTATTGTTTAACCTGTTGTTTCCTTCTAAATTAATATATTTCGAGCCATTCCTTTATACATTCACATTGCCTATGACGTTACTCAGTTACTTTAAAAATCCTTTTTATTCTGGAACTAATTTTTAAGAATTATGAAGCTCATTCCTCTGAATCTAATATCACTGACTCCTAGACTTTTTCCTTTTTCTTTGGATATACTCTAAATAGAATTTATCAGAATTTTCATTCAACTTGTTCTTTGACCTAGACATTTACTAGTTATAAGACCTCAAGGCTGGGTGCAGTGGCTCACGCCTTTAATCCCAGTACTCTGGGAGGCTGAGGTGGGCAAATCACAAGGTCAGGGGGTTCAAGACCAGCCTGACCAACATGGTAAAAAATGTCTACTAAAAAAAAAAAAAATAGAAAAAATTAGCTGGGTGGCAGGTGCCTGTGATTCCAGCTACTAAGGAGGCTGAGGCAGGAGAATAGCTTGAACCCGGGAGGCAGAGGTTGCAGTGAGCCTAGATCACACCACTGCACTCTAGCCCAGGCAACAGTACGAGACTCGGTCTCAAAAGAAAAAAAAAAAAGTTCTCAAACAACACACCTGTTTTTCTTTCAGCTGCTTGTTATGGTTCCTATACATGGAACAGATATACTGGCCTCACAGTGTTATAGTGTATACTTAAGGTTATAATTGATATTGCTGGTTTGAATTCAGCTTTTCTATTTAAGTACTTTATGATGATGATGAAATGACGATAATAGTTAACATTTTTAAAGTAGGTTCTGTACCTTTCCAACAAAATTCTTAAAAGTTATTGAAGGCTAACCTTGCTGCCTTCTTTATATCAGTATCTTATAAATAATTGCTACACAAATGCTAAAATGCTTAAATGATAAATGCTTCAATGCTAACCAAATATTAATTAATGGCAAATTATTTAACATTATCTGGTAATAATCTGCAGAAGGTTTAACTTTTCCTTCTCAATTTGAAGTTCAAGATACTTTTCCAGGGAGATTTTTTTTTGACTGACATCCTTAACTTACCTTCCAGCTATATTACTAATGTAGCTTTCTTTCCAGATTTTTTAAATTGTCTGATCATGACTGAACACGTCTCTGTGTCTCAGCTTTGCAAACAGAGGAAATAACGCATCCGTATGTCCCTCTTGCTGGTGTTCCGCAGACCATGCTTGCCCTGGGCCTCCCTCATGCAAGGTCCGCATGGAGAAGATGGACTTCAGCTCGGCAGCAGCATCCCTTCCCATGGGGATGAGGAGGGATGATGGCAGTGGCTGGAGATGCCCCTTCCATGGGGCACCACCCATTCACAGAGACACCTTCCACTCTCTTCATAGGGGGAAACGAATCCCAGGAATATTCTGGTCTCAACTGTCTCCCTTGAATCTTGTCTCACTGTGCATTTTATTATGGTTTAAGTCAGTCAGTAACTGAAGTGAGTCTTCATCTCTTGCATTCAGTTCAAAGAGCTTTGCGTGTCTCCTATGATGACCTGTCCCTTTCCGTCTCCAACTCCTAAAAGATTTCCACTATTTCCTCTGGAATTTTGTTTCATGACCAGCAAAATCCTCTAAATCCATACCCATTTCCTGGCTTTCCCTATCCTTTCCTCTGAATGCCAGTCTTTTACATTCAGCTCTCCACTTGACATCAAAACAGACATTTTAAACTCAATATTCCTAAAACTTAACTCCATTTTTCCCCCAAGTCTCCCCACTTACACAGCAACAACAGCAACAAACACCACAGGCATCTCTTGTCACTGGAAGGCAACTCCATTCCTTTGATGCCGAGGCCAGGCGTCTGATGGAGTCCTCTCTTGATTTCTCTAACCCAGGTCCAGCCCATCAGCAAGCCCTGCTGGTCCTGCCTCTGGAACATGTCTAGGGTTCAGTTGTCCTGGCCGCCCAGCTGCTGTAACTGTGGTCGGAACTCCATCCTGCCTCTCTGGATTATGACACTTGTTTCCTCACAGTGGTCCTGCTTGGGCTCTAGGCCCTTCCACTCCCATTCTCTACTGCAGCTGGGCTGATCCTTTTAACACCCAATGATGTGTTGCCATCACAGTGACTTAGAAATGATATGCCAATATATGAGTATAAATATTATTACATTAATAGTAACATAGGTACAAACGTGTACTACAAAATATCACATAAAACATATTGAAAATGTATGCTATGTAATTAATATCAATATTGTTAATTATAACATTGTTTTGAATTAAATATTTTATTGAAATTAATTTTACTGCTTTAATGTACCTGCTAGAAAATTCTAAATTATGTTTTATTTATATTGGACAACCCTGCACTCAGGTGTTCGAATCAACTTGGAAAAAGGAAATAAAAAGGGAGTAGAGATGGCCATGATTATTCTTTCAGGAAAGAGAATATGCCAAACACTCTTGTCATGGCACCCAGCACTTCCTTATTCCTCAGGCTGTAGATGATGGGATTGAGCATGGGGGTAAAGATGGTGTAGAAGACTGCCAGGATCTTGTCTTCGGATGGTGAGCGGAGATTCCTGGGCCGAAGATAGGTGTAGACAAAAGGTGCATAGTAAAAGATCACTACAGTTAAATGGGTTGAAATGGTGGTGAAGGCCTTTTTTCTTCCCTCCTTTGAACGCATATGATAGACAGCAAATAGGACTCGGCCGTAGGAAGCAGTGATGCCAAGGAAAGGAAAGAGGAGAAAGAAGCTTGTACTTACAAAAACCATATATTCATAGACCCAAGTATCTGTACAGGCAAGAAGCAACATGGCTGGGACATCGCAGAAGAAATGGTCAATGGCCCTAGACCTGCAGTAGGGAATATGGAGGGCATAGACTGTGTGTGCCAAGGAGTTGATGGACCCCAGTGTCCAAGAGCCTCCAGTCATCTTCGCACACACTCTTTTACTCATGCGGATGGGATAGTGGAGAGGGTGGCAGATGGCCACGTAACGGTCATAGGCCATGGAGGTCAGGAGTAAGCCCTCGGAACACGCCATGGTCAGGAAGAAGAAGCTTTGCATACCACATCCCAGGAGGGAGATGCCTTTCTGCCCGGAAAGGAAGTTATATGCCATCTTGGGGACGGTGGTGGAGATGTATATCAGGTCCATGAGGGAGAGCTGGCTGAGAAGAACGTACATCGGCGTGTGGAGACGAGGATCCACGTGGATGAGGTGAATCATGGCCGAGTTACCCACCGAGGCCAGAAAGAATATGAGGATGATAAGGCACAGGAGAAATATGCCAGTCTGATTTGGGGGAAGCAGACCCAACAACATGAAATCATTTGACGTGTGATTCCATTTCTCCATGAAAACTCTCTGCTGTAACTGTGTTGAAAAAGATACAGAAACAACAGCAAAGCAGAAAACATGAAATGAAACACAACAGAAAAACAAAAAGGAACTGACTTTATCAATGTTTGTTTAGAATGAGTTATTTCTCCTCTAACACTGCAGGTTTTGTTGAATCGATTTCTAGATCTTAACAGAATGTTACCTTTCCAATTATTTCTGGTAAGCATCTCAGCAAGTCATAGATATCTGTGTGGTTTTTCAGTATAAAGTCTAGCCCTGTAGGCAGAAAAGATAAAGAATATAACTAAAACGTTCTTTTCTAGAGAACTGGCCAGTCACATCACTCATGAGTTATCAACAAGTCACAGGATTTGAGAAAGGCAGGGATACCTACCTCTCCAGTGTTTTAATCTAATAGGGCATAATCACAATAGAAACTTGATGTATGACTCAGAAATTTTCTATATACTTACATAGTCCTTTATCTTTAATTTCTGGTCTTTCCTCCCCAGCTGACAGTACTCCAGCCAGATAAACCAGATCCTCTCCTTGATACTCTGCCTTTCATATTCCAGACAGGCACTTCTGTGCCTTTCCTGCAAATGTGCTTACAATGCAAGTCACCCCTTGAACTGTAAGGGCTTTGTATGTCCAATAAGATCCACCTTAACTGTAAAGTATTATTTACATATTCTCTCTTCCCTAATAAGGTTTTCAGATATTGAAGACCTACAGAATGCAAAATCAAATGCATGGATAGTCAGTCACATACAGTATTATTTTCTTCATGTAAGTAAGTCACTCAAAATAAATGTCAGAGATTGCATAATAGGTTTATTTTTTAAAAAGTATATTTGCCACAGCTGAAAGCAATTACTAGTGAATTATATAGATAATATATATTATAGTATTTAATATATATAACAATATATATAATCTATAATTTTATAATATTTATTCATCTGTTACCTTTCTTATATGTGTATGTCTATGTACATATCTACCTATTCTCTCTCTCTCTATCCTATATATAGGAGTCTTTGAGGTACCATACATTATTACAGCTGTTCCTCACGTTATTTATTATAACCTTTCCACAAAACAAATTCTGTGAATTTAGGCATCTTATCTTCATTTTTCAAGTATTTAAAGTAGTATTTAGAGATGTAAAGAATAACCTTCTCAAATACTGTTAGTGATGGAATTAGATTTTGGTCCTGTGTAGCTGCTTCAAATTTCTAGTCATTTCAATTTTGCCCCAAATTTAGTAATTATTTGGTAAATGCCTTCCCGTGTGTACATTATCTCATTCAACTTAAATTGTGTGATTATTCCTCTTCTGCAAAAGATCAAGCCTACATCAATTTCAGACTAGTTTGGAGCATACGGAGGTTAGAGGGGTTGTTCACCTTCTGTTCTTGTAGTCTGGTTTTCATTACCATACATGACAGCAGAGTCAAGCAGCGTACAACTATAAAACTGGAAAAGCCAGCGTGAGCAGGAGGACATTTGTAATTCATGGCTCAAGTATGTCTTCCTATTTCATTAGGTAAAACAATGAAATTTGAATTAATAGTTAATAATTGAGAATAAAAAAATCCAACAGCCAAAATAAATCATTTTTCCCTTTCTGGAAAGTTTGTCTAGCTTTTTATGTCTAGACCTTTCATCAGGAATTTTTATTTCTGACTCAACTGTTTATAGTCTCTCTTTTTCTCTTTACACTGTCTCAAATCCGGCAATTCATTTTTTACTTTATGCGGTTTCCCAAGTATGCATAAACTGTAATTGTGGCATTTCTTATTTTTCAACATCTTTGTGACTTTCTTCATTACCTGGGCTTGCAGCAAGATGTCATGTTTTTGTGTGTTCTTCTGTCTGAGGCAGACACTGATGTCACATCCTGCCCAGCATATCGATTTGGGTAGTCATCTTGGCTTATTTATTTTCCAACTTTACTGCTGAAAAGCAATTAATAGTTGCAATTATTGACATTCGGTAACTTAAACTCAGCTGTTTCTTCATATAATCTCAGGTAGCATGAATGCAATTGTGAAAGAGAGCCTGCTGTGGAAAAATGACAGTGCATTTCTACAGCTGTCCAAGTGGCAAACACTATCAGTGAAACATCGGGAGCAGTAATGGTGCACAGTAGCATTGCACATGGGGGCCGGGCAGGGTCAGAGGCATACTCTGCTTCTTGTAGAGCATTAGAAATTAAAACTGATCAGAAAAGCACATGAAACCCATCATTATGTTACATTCATTTCCTCAAAAAATGTTCACTGAGTTCCTGTTTTATGACAGTGCTGCCAGCTACTGCTGTGCTTTTGTGATAAAACACAAAAGATTTTACAATATGTAATTAAAATTAAGTTCATTATACAAACAATAGACCAACAAACTCAACCATACAGTGCGATGTTGTGTGGTGATTGGTATTCTAAAGAAAAATGAAGGAGCAGAGAGATCATCGGATTAAACAAAGGAATTAAGAAGGTACTCCAGGAGACTTTTCTAATTTCCAGGGCATGTATGATAAAGATTGATTTTTGAACTGACCTGGCTACATTTTATGAGTAAGAACTATCCTATTAATTTAGTTCCAAGCAAGTATTTCATTCATTTTATCAGATGAATGTGTTGAGAGCCTTTGACGCAGCGGTCACTGTGTGAGGCAGTAGAGACAGAATGATTTATCAGGTGCTGTCCCATCACCAGATGGGCGACCAACTGTCCTGACATGCCCGGGTCTTAGGGGATCCCCAAGATGCCCTGGAAATTGGAAAAGCCTTTTGGAGTACTTTCTTAATTCCTTTGTTTAATCCAGGTTAAATCCAGGGGAAGAAAGATGCCAGCTGGACTCCCATGACGTGTTTCAAATAGCAAGCATGAACAAGCCGACTTGGCTGTAAGTTTGTGTGTTCCATCCAGGAATTGTTTTGAAGGGAGACATTTGATTATTTATTGCATAGACTACAGCTCAAGGGTATTAAAAAGGTTGTTTCATGGTAGTTACTAGAATAACAATTTTGTTTCCAAAAATGGAAAACTAGCATATTGTTAGGCAATGGAAGAGAAAAACATCTTTTAGGATCCTGCGAACCTAGGACTAGAAGTTTTAGGTCATGGGACACTGGAGTTTGAGTTTAGGATCCATTTCCATTGTTGTCCAGCAGCTTTCCTTATTAGACATGGGACCTTATTTAATGCGCCAGAATTACATGAAGCATCACTCTTGGTTACATTATAGCTGGGAAAATATTGTTCCTGTGGCTACCAGGTGAGTCTAGGGTTAGCAACTGACTTGGTTATTCTTGACTTAAAGTATAACTGAGAAGAACTTGAACAAATTTACAAGAGAAAACAAAAAACCCCATCAAAAGTGAGCAAAGGATATGAACAGACACTTACCAAAAGAAGACATTTAGCAGCCAACAAACATATAAAAAAAAGCTCAACATCACTGGTCATTAGACAAATGCAAATCAAAACCACAATGAGATGCCATCTCACACCAGTTAAAATGGTGATCATTGAAAAGTCAGGAAACAGCAGATGCTGGAGAGGATGTGGAGAAATAGGAATGATTTTGCACTGTTGGTGGGACTGTAAATTAGTTCCACCATTGTGAAGACAGTGTGGTGATTCCTCAAGAATCTAGAACCAGAAATACCATTTGACCCAGCAATCCCATTACTGGGTATATACCCAAAGGATTATAAATTATTCTACTATAAACACATCCACACGTCTGTTTATTGCAGCACTGTTCACAATAGCAAAGACTTGGAACTATCCCAAATGCCCATCAATGTTAGACTGGATAAAGAAAATGTGGCACATATACACCATGGAATACTATGCAGCCATAAGAAAGCATGAGTTCATGTCCTTTGCAGGGACATAGATGAAGCTGGAAACCATCATTCTTAACAAACTAACACAG